ATTGGCAATTCCAGCGTAATCTAGTCTCATTGCTATGCAATAATAACATCTGGCATATCACACAGGACATTCGGGAGGATAGGTAGGCTTGGAAGTATGAGCAATCTTTCAGGACAATGGCCTGTGATCAGCTGGTTAAGAACTCTGCCTACAGTAATTCTCCTGACATAAGGCACAACAAAAAATTGGTGCTACCTAAACAAAACGAGACAAAGGTCGCAGAGAAGTATAGAGCAAGTGGAGGCAAAAAAAACACATACGAGGAGGAGTCTCCAGCGGTGAAACCCCCAGGTGCTCCGTCGAGCAGGGGCTAGTGGCGTCTTGGAGGGAGATCCTAAAGTGCACCGGCCGGAGCACCCTCCCGTGGGGCGTGCCACTCCCCCCCTCAAAGGGGAATCACTAAGATGTATTATGTTATCAGCGTGTGTGTCAGTCGTCTAGTCAGGTTTCTGCATGAGTTCCTTGTATGTTTTCCCCTGGCAAAAATGGGTCCAAGGTGCCCACAGTCTGGAGAATTTGGTAAGGTTGTCTTGTTTGGTGAACAGGAGTTCCTCCATTTCGGCTATGTAGTTTACCTGTTTAATCCATTCGGTGATAGATGGGGGCCTCACCTCCCTCCAGAGTCTGGGTATCAGTGCTCTAGCAGCATTAATCATATGTTTGAAGAGAGTTTTTTGGGGTCCCTCAGGTCCCTCCTCCCGGAGGTGGCGCAAGTACACCCCAGGATGGAACGCAAGTTGTTCCCCTGTTATTTGTCCTACGAATACTAGTGTCCTCCTGTGACCTAAAGCTCAGCTATAAGCGAGCTATATACTGAGAGCGCCGCAGCCGGGACGGATCCTGACAATACTGTTGAGATCCACCCAGCTAGCTGATTGACAGCTGGCCCTGCATATCTAGAGGCAAAGTTATCTGTGCCCGACCCCTCCCCTGTCCGTTCCTCCAGTCAGCGCTGTAGGATCGGAGAGGGGGGGGGGAATGCCTGCGGGGAGCGGTGATTGACAGTCACTGCTCTCTGCAGGGAGATGATCAGGAAGTGAGCGAGTGAAGGTATGCATTCGCTCACTTCCCGATCTATTGAGCCGACGTGACAATTTCATTGTCACAGGTTGGCTCTAACTAAGAGGATGAGTGTGAAATACTCACTTCACAGTTCTCCTTTTTTAAGTGCTTGTTTTGGTCTCAGGCAGGGGTGGGCAACTCCGGCCCTCCAGCTGAACTTTAACTACAATTTCCAACATGCCTCTGGGAGTCATGTCTGTAACTGTATGTGTTCGCTCGCTTCCCGATCAATAGACCCGACGTGTGACAGTTTCACTGTCACACGTCGGCTCTAACTATGAGGATGAGTGAAAATCACTCACCTCATAGTTCTCCTTTTCTATGTATTCAGACACTTTGCAACAAATCTTAAAATTTAGCTCAGGTGCCTCCCATTTCTCTTGATCATTGCCGAGATGTTTCTACACCTTGATTGGAATCCATCTGTGGTAATTACATTGATTGGACATGGTTTGGAAAGGCACACACCTCTCTATGGAAGGCTCTCTGACTGAGCTCCAGAGAGCCTGGGTTGGGATGGGACAAAGTTCCAGAAGGACAACCATCACTGCAGCCCTCCACCGATCTAGCCTATATGGCAGAGTGGCTAGATGGAAGCCTCTCAGTGCAAAACTAATGAAAGCCCCCTTGGAGTTTGCAAAAAAAACACCTTAAGGACTCTCAGACTGTGAGGAACAAGATTCTCTGGTCAGATGAAACCAAGATTGAACCGTTTGGCCTAAATTCTAAACGTTATGTGTGGAGGAAACCAGGCACCTCTCATCATCTGCCCAATACCATCCTAACAGTGAAGCATGGCAGTGGCTGCATCATGCCGTGGGGGTGTTTTTCAGCAGCAGGGACTAGGAGACTGGTCAGGGTTGAGGTAAAGCTGAATGGTGCCAAGTACAGAGATATCCTCAATGACAACCTGTTTCACAGCGCTCAGGACCTCAGAATGGGCCAAAGATTCACCTTCCAACATGACAATGAGCTTGTAGCATCATACCCAAAAAGACTTGAGCCTGTAATTGCTGCCAAAGGTGCTTCAACAAAGTCTTTCTCTCTTCACTGCTCTGCCATCCTGAAGTCACAGAGATCTCTCCTTGGCCCCCCTGCTGGCTTCAGCGCTCAAGATGGCAGAGCGGAAGATCGGTAAATATCGGTGATATTTACTGATCGTCTGTGCAGAGCAAATACTGGAGCAATCATCTGATCACTCCAGTGTTTGTAAATAACTGGGGACACATAGTACTATGTGTCCCCAGTTATGAATGAACAGGAAGTGCTTTACATCACTTCCTGTTCATTCATGAGTTTCTCAATGGGTGGAAGCACTCACTATAGAGGCTTCTATCCATTCATAAACTGGATGATAGTAAATGTTTTACTATTACCAGTTTGTGACTGAATGGGAAGCCTCTGTACTGAGTGCTTGCCATTCATTTAGAACAGAGGCTGCAGAAAAACAAATTGAGTACTCCATGTCCTTAATTTCTTTTTTTATTTCAAAAGGGAAATGTCAGCGGCCTGTTTAGACCCCTAATATTTCACATGTGGGCCGAAATGAACGGAAACTAAAAATGTTTTAATTAGTTTCGTCAAACAAACAAGTTTTTATGCTATTTTGGCTGTGGCCCCCAGCGCATTTGCATCACGCATCTGTTGGGGGGGCACAATTTTCTGTTCTTGCCTCGAACGCAAAAAGGAGCTAGCTATGGCTCTGTATTGGAGTATGTAATTAGAACGGGGTGGTTTTACAAACTTTCCCATCTTGTTCTTGAACAAGCAACATCTGCCTTGACACACCCCAAGGTGACTTAAGACTAAGTTACCCATGTGGTATGTTGCTAGCAAAATTTTGTATGGGGTTCTGTGATTTCTAGTTATGCCCCTTGCAGAGCCCACCTGATATTCCAAACAGCCCACCTGAGAGTCACCCTGCAGAGCCCCCCATGGACTCTCTATGGCAAGCCCTGCAGGTTTTCAGGTGGGCTGGTCACACACTCTTACCTGTCAGCCCTGATCCGCTGAGCACCTCCTCCACGGTCGCCGACAGACCCTGCCTCCTCTTCTATCGTCGCGCCGCCTACTCATCCGCTGCTGACACCGGGCCCAGCCTCCTCCTCCACAGCTGCTGGCTGTCACCGACACAGCAGCGGCTGTAAGGAGGAACCTGAGATGCCATAGCGACCCAGGCCTCCCGCACGGCATCAGGGGGATGTCTTGGCCGGGCCCCCCTGTGACCCGGGCCCCATATTGGCCGCCTGGGTCGCTATGGCGATTGTTACGCCACTGATTGCTGGCGTTTACTACTACTATATCTGAAGAAGCCACTTGGCTGAGTAGCGAAATGTCTACAATATATTACAGAAGAAGTCCTGTTGAAAGGGACTGACTACTTCTAGGAGTAGTATTCTGCCCTTGAATGGTGACAGACAACCAAGTGCATTCAAAAGTAGTATAAGGCCCCGTTCACATATAGCGACATACCTTTTGCAGCGGATCCGCACGGCCGGGATAGCGCGACTTTCGGGGCGACGTTCCAGCGACGATCCAGCGACGGTAGCGCGACCTTCCCCGTCGGGCTCCATAGAAAAAAAGTAAAATCGCGCAAAATCCGCCGAAAAAAGGGTCCGGTAGAAGCGACTTGCGACCGCGACGAGCGACGCGCGACATGGAGTTAAGACAGCTCCATTGAATAACATTGGCCGGCGACTTCTCGCGATATCGCGCGGCAAAAATGCGCGATATCGCGGCGGAAATCGCGCGACAATTCGCTATATGTGAACGGGGCCTTAAACTCTCAAACCTTTTTCAATAATGAATCTAGATCATACAAATATTCATTGCCCAGCAAAGCATTGCTTTACATTTTTGCCCAAGCACTTACAGTCCTCATGTTTCTGAATAGATCCAGCACAGTGGCATAGTAGTTAGCACTTCTGCCATGTAGCACTGGGGGTCTTTCATTTAAATACTGGCCAGGTCACTATCTACAAGGAGTTTGCATGTTCTCCCTGTGCTTGGATGGGTTTTCTCCCACACTCCAAAGACATGCAGGAAGGTTAATTGTTTCCTGTCTAAAAAGGCCCTTGTATGTACAAATGTGTGATAGGGAGCTTAGATTGTAAGCTCCTTGAGGGCAGGGACTGATGTGAATGTGCGCAGTGTAAAGCGCTGCAAAAATTGTTGGTGCTATATAAATAATAATAACTCATCCAGCTCAGCTTCCCTGAACTTCCTGTCCAGTACAAGATCAGAAAGGATAGAGTAGTTTGCAGCCACTCTCCATCTACTAGCTTGGAGAAGGAAGGAGTAGGTTGCTAGGAATAGGCTTGCCTTGCTGTGCCTGTGTGTGGAGACACACAGCTTACTAGCGCACACATGGGTGTCTCCATAGGACCCTGCAAGGGAAAAAGGCCACCGTAAAACAGATATCAGGATCGGAGCTCAGCTGATTATATAGGAAGCTAAAACTTTTAAATATTAAGGAGCAGAAGTGAAATAGCTTGAAAACCTTTTGACTGTAATGTGAATATTTTGTGAGAGTTTATACAACATAGGTCCCACGTAGATACATTTCTATTGAACATGAATGCAGGTTATTTAACTCCATCTTGGTGTCTACAACGTATCTAGGATGACTTTCTGGGGCCTTTTACTAATATCCATTGATAACCTCCAATGAGGAGTGTGATGTCAGCATGCAATAACTCTGCTGATGAACTTCTGCTTAGCACAGCAGTCATAAACATACAATGTCTCAGCCTGACACACATGGGGCATTGCACATGCATGCCCATCACAGCAGCAGTAAAGCCACTGGTGCCCAGAACTCCAGAGTGCCTGGCTGGCTCTGACTTGTCAGTAAACTTCCACAATAACACCAGCAGCTGACTTGTTTCTATCAGCCGCTATTTCCTGTGCCTAGACCACCCCCATGCCAGCACACTCACCCTGTTGTCAGCTTCACCCACTGTTCTTGTGACACAGTCAGCCCAGTTGCAGCAGCAGCAGATACACACATACAGCAACAAGGAAAGCGGAACAGCAGCAAGCGACCAATCACAGCGCGGGCAGTGCCCCAGAGCCGATGTCAATCATGGAAAGCGAGCCAATGACTTTCGCAAGGGGGCGTGGCTGCTGGGGTGATGACGTTTGGGGTCGCTTGTCAGCAGTCTCCACGCTGGTGTTGCGGGGTGCGGAGATCGAAGGGCAGCGTGTGGGAGGAAGATCGGAGGGTCGCTCGGCGGATACGGATTACGTCTGTTGTTGTCTGCACTCATAGACGCCGTTCTATGCACGGCTCACATCTGCCTTTGTTTACATCTGATTCTCTCGCGAGATGTTGTCCCGAGGAGGGTGCACGTGTTTTCATGCTCGTACACTAATCTGGGCACAAACAAGTATTTGTACTGTTAGCTTAGGATAGGTCCGTGCTTTGATGTGTTTACACGATTACAACGTTATCCTTTATAAATAACTCCCTTTCTGGCATTTAAATGCCTTTAAAGTATTTTAGCATTAAAAGAATGGTAGTTTTTTTTCCCCTCACACTTCCTCTAGTAAGGTGACAACGCTAATCACAAACTCCTAATGCAGTGGCAGTGTTGTCACTTTCATCTGTGTACTCCTGCATAAGCACCCATTCATACTCTTGTAGCACAGCATTGCTTGTTGCAAGTAGGGCAGTCCATTCATTTCAATGGTCTAACATACACGCGACATATGCAACAAAGAGGCTCAAGCACCTTTTTGGAACTTTGCATGTTTTTAACCCCTGGCACTCGTGCACAAAAATGTGTGTATTGCTTGCTGCCATTAAAAATAGCACTGCAAGCACAACTTCATTTTGCACATGTTCACTGCTTCCCGCAGGGATTCCCCCCTCCCTGCTCTGATCCTCCAGCGCTGACTGGAGAGACGGATAGGGAGGGGGCAGTTACAGCTGGCTCTGCCTCTACATAGGCAGAGCCAGCTGTCAATCAGCCAGTGGGGTGGATCTGAACAGTATTGTCTGGATCCTTCCCAGCTGCGGTGTTCCCAGCGTATAGCAGGCAATGCTGAGTTTTGGAACATGGGAGCACACAGCAGGGGCGTCCCGTGGCTGGGTGACACCAGGAGCGGTAACCGAGTGTCACCCTGCTGAGATGTCACCACTCGCGTGCGCGATTACGTCACCCTGCAGGATAAGGTATGCTTGCCATGTCCTCTCATGATACTGTCAGGTGTTCGGTCCATGACCGAGCACCCGACTTTTCAGAGGGGGGGGACACCAAAATGACTGTGTCATTTTGGTGTCACCTGGGTGCAGGCTGCACCCCCCTTGTGACGCCACTGGCACACAGTATATGTCTTCCTGTAACCCTGAGGAGAACTATGGGCAGAAAAGGTTGACCCATAGATCTCCTTTAACTTCTTCTGAAGTCGATTGGTTACTGTGAGCAACTGCTCCAGTTCTGATACATTCCCCTCCATGTCTTTAGGCAATGGACACACCCCCTGTTGTGTGGACCTTTGAGAACTTATATGCCAAAAATGATTGGGTAAATCCAGATTATTATTTTTTTTCATCTTTACTTTATCTTGGCTTTTCAAAATAGTAAACAAGATAATTAAAGGAGAACTTTGGCCTAACCCTTTTTGATCATAGTTCTCTTCAGGGTCACAGGAGGACATATACTAATGTCCTACAGTGACCCAAAACTCAGTATATAGCAGGCTTTTGGCGCTATATGCTGAGAGCGCAGAACCGTGTCGCAGCCAGGACGGATCCCAATTTGATCGGGATTTACCCAGCTGGCTGATAGGCAGAGCCAGCTGTCAATCTAGAGGCAGAGCCAGCTGTGCCCGCCCGCCCCCCTCCTATCAATTCCTCCAGTCATCGCTTTGGAGAGGGGAGGGGATGGGGGGGAATCCCTGCACGGAGCGGTGACTGACAATCGCCACTCTCAGCAGGGAGAAGATTGGGAAGTCAAGGACAGCAGTATGTGCTTGCTGACTTCCCAATCAATAGAGCCGACCTGTAACAGCTTCTTTGTCACAGGTCGACTTGAATTATGGGGATGAGTGTTTTTCACTCACCCCATAATTCTCCTTTAAAGCAGACCTATGGGGTGTCATTTATTTCCATAGTTCTCTTTCAGGCCACGGGAGGACATATACTACGTCCTCCCGGGACCCAAAACTCAGAATATATAGTGGGCTATTGCTCGCTATATGCTGAGAGTGCAGCAGCTTGGACAGATCCCAACAATACTGTCAAGATCTACCATGCTGGCTGATTGACATCGAGCTCTGCCTATCTAGAGGCAGAGTCAGCTGTGCCAGCACCCTCCCCAGTCCGTCCCTCCACTCAGCGCTGGAGGATCAGAGAGGGGGGGAATCCTTGCGGGGAGTGGTGACTGACAGTCCCGCGCTCTGCAGGGAGATGATCGGGAAGTGAGTGAGCAATGGTATGTTTTCACTCACTTCCCGATCAATAGAGCCGACGTGTAACAGTTTCAATGTCACATGTCGGCTCTAACTATGAGGGTGAGTGGAAATCACTCACCTCATAGTTCTCCTTTTAAGAGATAAGATAAAGGTTTTAGTGCTGAATAACATTTTGGTAGTTAAATAGAACCTTTTACATACATATCTGTACAATAAAAAGAGGAACAACTGAGGAGGAAAGAAGGACCGAGGGATTGGGTTCCAAATGAGGGACAGTTACAAATGTGAATGGGGCCTAAAACATAAACATGACATGCTATAGATCAGGGGTAGGCAAACTTTGGCCCTCCAGCTGTGCTGCAACTACAAATCTCATTAGACATTGCATGACTCTGGGAGGTAGATGTTGGGATTTGTAGCTTCACCACAAATAGAGGGCCAGTGTTTGCCTGCCGCTGCTATTAAGTGTCAGTGCTATAGAGTGACAGCAGAGTCCCACTGTCAAGGATACAGGCCGGCCACAGAGTGTTCAATTGGTTGGTAGCAAGCCTACAGCAACGTCACCAGAAGTGACCTGCCCTGGCCTTAGAAAAATAAGTGGAGTGATACAGCAGTCACATGGCCTTAGGAAAAAAGAGGATAAAAGGTATTTGTAGGTCTTTTTTATTTTTTTATTTTGCTACTTGCATAGGTTTAGTGTGTGTCTGCACTACATCTCTCAGGATGGGCAGACAGAATCCAGGTATACTTTAGGGGCCCATTTACACTGCTTGAGTTGCGGCAGCAAGTTATGGTTTGGTGGGCTATGAAGGCCTGTTTGTATTTTTTTTAGAGCTAGATACAGCAGTGCAGATCCTAGCAAGGTTATGTGTCCATACCATATTTCTGTAAAAATAATCTCTTACACTCTTCATATTTTCTTGTACTGGGTTACTCGAAAAACCAAAGGGTAAGCATAGCAGGCAATGACATGCAGAGGGAGCCTTCAGCATTTGGCAGAAAAATATTTGCCTCCATCAGGGCCGTCCCTTTTAATAAGGCAGCCTGGGGCTATTGCCTCAGGTGGCATCTCTTTGGGTCACATGATGGGGGTGATAGGCAGAGTGCCATGTTTGTCATATAGTGGCCTCTATGCTGCTTCATGACGCCCCCTTTCCAGTCAGAGCGTCTCAATTTGCTAAGAGCCAGGTGGGGAGATGTGTAAGGGCAATACACCTCTCCCTGCCTTAGCAACCTGGGACGCTCTGACCGGTGTCCCGCCCAGCTCCTGACAACCAGTGACGTCACTGATCAGGAGCTGGCTGGGACGCTGGCCAGAGTGCCCCAGGTCTACATAGTGCAGTGTCACTTTCATGCACAACCCCCTAACCCACCCCACCCCCCGTCCGTTGGCAGCAAAAAGTCTAGGGACACTGCCTAACGCTCACAAAAACCTTAGTGTTCTGTAAGAGACAATAGCGGAGGACCTAAATTCCAGATTGTACTTTAAATCTGCTTTAAAAGAAAACCCCCAAAAATACAATGAATAATTGCTGAACATCTTTCCGTTTGAGTCTGTTGTCAGCTGTGATTTTCTGTACTGATAAATAAATGTGAACGTTGCTTCCTTGTAACCATGGCAAGTGGGAACTTTCTATAAACAGCTTATGTACAGGGTGCCCCCAGAGATGCCACTTCCTGTCCTATTTGACAGGCTCACTGCTTTTCTCAGCAGTTTTTTTTCTTTACTAAGACTGATCATGCGATGATAGGAAGAAACTCCTAGCCTGGATAGTCCTGCTCATTTCTTTTACAATTGATAATGGAATCTGCTAGCACAGTACACACAGTGTTAATTAACCTTCCTGGCGGTAATCCTGAGTGTGGCTCGGGGTTAATTTTCAGTACCAAAAGCGTACACTTGTCCACGAGCCCCGCTGTGTCCTCCGGCCGATGCCGTCTTCCGGGTTCTGTCCCTTGCAAGCACCCGCGTCACAGGGGGGCGGAACCAGCAGGAGATTTAAAAGTAAAAAAATAGAAAAGAAAAAAAAAAAAAAACGAGATTTTCAGACGGCCAGGGAGGTTAAAGAAAACCCAACCTCAACATTAAAGAGAACTAAGTAGGATTTTTTCAGCCCTGGATTTTTCAGGAAAGAGCATTTAAAAAGGTAAGCTGCAATTTTCATACTCAATACTCAGAACCATCAGGTATGTTGCACCGGCTAAGCCAGAGAAAAGATAGGCTGGGGATTGCTTAAAGGCATCAGTGGGGGTTCAGTTTACTATCTTTTTTTTGTTTGCCTTTGTGAGATACTGATGGGACTTGATCTGATCCCTCAATCAGATAGCAGATTTTCTAAGTCAGCACAAGTGTCTGGAAGCAGAGTGGCTTCCCAAGGAGTTTAACCCAGCTTATGGTTCCCCCCCCCCCCAAATCAACTTACTACCTCTAGTTATCAAAAAGATCTGCAAGTGCATAGGAAAAATCATTGTAATCGCTCCAGGTGGCCCTGGAAAGCCTGGTTTTCAGTTCTCCGGGAACTTTCATTACGTGTCTATGGACTCTCCCAGTCCAGCTGAACCTACTATTCCGGAGACCATTGTTTCCTCCCAGAGCGTAATTCCTGAATTTCAGTGTCTGGACCCTGAGTGGAGCATCCAGGGCTATGGGA